AATACAGTTATATATAGGTAACTACTACAGTTATATATAGGTAACTAATACAGTTATATATAGGTAATTATTACAGTTATATATAGGTAATTACTACAGTTATATATAGGTAATTACTACAGTTATATATAGGTAACTACTACAGTTATATATAGGTAATTACTACAGTTATATATAGGTAATTACTACAGTTATAATGGGAACATTTATTTATCTGTTATAGAAATATGCGCAGATAAATTTGAGAATAAGATAACATACTAAGTCATAAATTTTACTGTTCTTGATTTTAATTTGTTTAGATTAGTTTAATGTTTTTACTTTAAACGTTTTTGATTTAATTTGGTTTTATGTTTTTACTTTAAACACACGTGAGCGATAATTTTATAGTTAAATCCATAATCGTATTTTATACAAACCATTTTCTATGTTCGTATAATTTCAAATATTTCGACGTTTTGTCATAGTTTCACGAACTTCGCAGACCCCTAGTTATGACGTCAGATCCAGTACGTTCGTACGATGATGGTAATTTCTTTAGAAGTGAGCACGAACCTCAATATTCGGTATATAATACTAGTCATCATCCGTACAGGTAAGTGTTCCAGAATGGATAACTATCTTTATAAAGATTCAGACAGTCTGTATCATTATTATTCATGTAGACGGAAAAGTTTGGAGTAGTTAATTATTGCTTCTTCTCTGAAAACAAAAGCAGTAACCTGTCACATGTTTTAAACCTACTTTACAGAGAGGGATCTTCTCAGCGAGACTTCAGATATGTTAGGTCTAACGAAAGCACTGATTCCATTGTACAAACTGGTGAACCTCAGCCGTCACTTGAAAGACATCAAAATCAATGGCTGGAAGAACTTACATCCAGTGGAACCAAGATAGTCGTTGTGCTTTCTTCACGTACTGCGAACAACGATAAAGAGTTGTCTGTGTTGAGGGGGGACATATTGAAAGTAAGTTTATGTGATTAAATAAATTAAAAGTTGATTTTATTTGAAAACGGATAGATATTGAAAGAAAGTTTAAACGGTTAGCAACATAATCATCTTGATATTAACAGTGTTAAAGGACTTGTAGTTTGTGTTAGTACAGTGTTAAAGGACTTGTGGTTTGTGTCAATACAGTGTTAAGGAACTTGTACTTTGTGTCAGTAGTGTTAAATGACTTGTGGTTTGTCTTAGTACAGCGTTAAAGGATTTGTGGTTTGTGTTAGTACAGTGTTAAAGGACTTTTACTTTGTGTCAATAGTGTTAAAGGACTTGTGGGTTGTGTTAGTACAGTGTTAAAGGACTTGTGGTTTGTGTTAGTAAGGTGTTAAAGACTTGTGGTTTGTGTTAATACAGTGTTAAAGGACTTGTACTTTGTGTCAGTAGTGTTAAAGGACTTGTGGGTTGTGTTAGTACAGTGTTAAAGGACTTGTGGTTTATGTTAGTACAGTGTTAAAGAATTTGAATTTGTGTTAGTACAGTGTTAAAGGACTTGTAATTTGTGTCAGTACAGTGTTAAAGGACTTGCACTTTGTGTCAGTAGTGTTAAAGGACTTGTGGGTTGTGTCAATACAATGTAGGATCTAAATCATATGTCACTCGGAATCCTTATGTCGT